GTCGACATGCTCGATCACATACCGATACGACATCAACTTCAACGCCCAACGCAACAGCTTTCCTCGGATGTGCTTCTTGACGATGGTGTGGGCGCGAATACGTGGATCAAATTCCAGTGATCGCAGAATAGTCGAAATGGACGTGCGCGCAGTAGTAGGTAGTCGAGCTTATCGCAAGCCACCACAATAGGATAGGCTTCCTTTTCAATGACAGTCCAGTTCAATTGAGCATTGCGGAATGTCCCGCTCAAACACGTCAACAGCTTGTGCTGCTGTGTGGTTACGTCGGCCTTCGCGTTAAAATCTTGCACTTGGGTGGCAACGACCGCGAAACCTGTATCCGACACATCCGTGAACACACAAGTCATTGCTTCGTCATCTGGCAACGCTAGGGTAGCCGAAGTCGCCAGCAACGCCTTGGTTCGGTCGTACACGGCCTTCTCTTTGGTCGATAACTCGAGCGAAATTCCAGACGCCACACGCTTTGTGCGTTTTCCACCGCTCAGTAGTTCATCCAGCCGTTGTTGCAGTGGGTTCACCAGCCTCCGCCTCAGCCCTAGTATTGTTGTGATTGGACCAAGCCTACACCTTATGTTTTGGATGACCTGTGTTAGACATTTCGAAGCACGAAAATTTTTATTTCCAAACCTATGTTCGTCAATACGTACTACTTCAAGAGCAATTCAAATTACTCGATGAGTCTGGTACTTCGTTAGACCCTCCGACTGATAGGATAATGGTTCAGAGCTCTCGTATCCTACTCATTGTGCGTTATTAGTTCGACACTATTACGATAGGCAACTTGTCGTTCCAACTGCTTGGACTGTGCTAAGTTTTTTTTAACTAAAGCGTACGACCACGATATCATTGTAGTAGATTACAACCAACGATACCACACCGTATTCAGCGAACGACATCGCTGATTACCAAGCTTGAAGATCTGCAAACGACTTCCAGATCAAAAGCGTGGCCAGCGACAAGTCTCCAGTTCAAAACGAATCCGCGGGTATTTCTCATTCCATAACTCATACTCCTTGAGCGCCGACCAGGAGCCAGGATGCGCCCTTTGCTCGCCATACTGCTGTTTGTATCCTTCCAGCACTGCATCGCCATCGTTCGGAAAAACAAAGCGAGAGGCAGGAATTGACATTGTGTCTCATGCTCTCGCTGCCGACAAACGAGGTGCCTCAGAGTTCACGACAAAGAACTGGCCGACACTGAAAACCCAGACGAAGACGGACGAGCGTTAACGTGGTTAACTAAACTGCGAAATTTGTTCAAAACGAAAGATCGGTTAAGTTGAAAAACAAGGAATTCCGCGCATGGCTGAAGAACGGAGACAACCCCGACATGGTTTACAAGAGGTTGGGACTCCAAGGTCGGGGACCAGAAGCGGACTTGAGAAACGATGCGAATTTTCTTAAATATCTCGAGTATTCGAAGCTTTGGCGACATGAGTTGGGTACGGTCACATTGGCCCGCCCAAACCGCGGCAGCGTCCAGCTCAAAACGTGAAGTAACTTCATTCCTAGCCGTTCGACGATCCAATGCATTACTTTGATAATAATGCAAATTCTCTTTAAAAGACCATAGAGATCGGTTAGAACCACTACTTGAATGCACTAAGTTCGTCCTCGAGCTCGTCATCGCGTTCTTCTGAGAGCAGGAATGAGCTGAGATCATTCGGGTACTTCTGAGGCTGACCAATTATACTAAGAAGAACCGGTAGCAATACAAGACCGTGGAAGCAACCCAGCACGACAATGCCAAAGTACATCCGGAAGAAATACACGCGGAACAGCATGGACGGTGCAAACGCTAGCACTCCAATGCCGCAGAACTTGGTGAGTGTGATACCTGAGAAAACTGACGCACCAACACTGGTCAGAGCGTAGCGAGTGTGGTCGTTGCCAGTTGTTCCAAGATGATGCCTCCTCGAGAAAGAAAACTGGTGAGCCATGTGCACGCAGAACTCAACTCCAAGTCCGATACACGCAAGCAGGTTCACTACCGATACAGCGTTGATAGACGTCTCAGCACCCGGTCCAGCAAGTAGATTCCAGACGAAAAGGAAGCCCAATTGGGAGAAAGCCATCGATAACACACACAGAGTAACCACGGTAGTCAATCGCAAGCTTCCGTCCATGAGCACGAACACTGCTCCAAACACAACAGCCAGTGCCAGTAGCACACTCTGCAACGCCACGCCCTGGATGTAAGTGTACTGTTCTTCGAACACGAAGACAAGAGCGTAGGGGAATGCAGTTGCAGCTCGACCAGAACTCCATTGATTTGTCACGTCGTGCAGATAGTAATACGAGTTCACAAACATCGACTGGTTGCGAAGAGCATTCAGCTGGAACCGCATCCGAGAGCCAATGATGGACATTTTGCCGTCGCCACCAACGTTTGGTTCACTGAAGATAATGTCGCCTTCATACTGCGCACCACACAGTCCAAAGTGCTGACAACAAGTCGAGTCAATTGAGATGCCAGTGAAGTTCTTCACTAGTGGATAAAACAGCGCATTGGGAGTCACATTCGCCGTCATCAGAGCTCCATATCCGTACTCGGGGGCCATGAAAACATCCTCTCGCTCTTCAATCCCGATGTTTGCCAGCTCGTACGCGAATGGATCCATTGGCTGTACAGGACAATCACACTGTCCCTGATCGATCTTGTCTTGAAGGAAGAATCGCATTTGTCGCCACTGATTGAACGTATGTAGCCACGAGTAAACAGGGAGATCAATGTACTGGCGAAGCCCAGAAAGCTCATCTAACAGTACATTCACATCTCGCTGCAAGTCCGCATCTGTATAGTCCACATTGCTGTCCAGAACAACATAAGCTGGAGGTCCAGCCTCACCCAGTGCAGTCTGCTTCTTGAAGTATTCGTGGAGGTAAAAATCCGTAGGCACAGCAAGTTCTTGCTCGAGTCCTAGCGGCAACTCTGACGAGCCGAAAGCGCTGAGTGTCAGTACTGAAAGAGCAGTCACAAGCACCAGAACTTTCGTGGATCGGCGTAACAGGAACGGGATGTACTTCTTCTCCACGAACCGCTGAACAACGCCAGCGCTACTTGGACGCGCCAAATTCCCCTCGTCCGCATCACTATCGTCCACAAGTAAGTCGTACTGGTAGTGATCCTTCGACTCAACTCTTCTCTTACCCCTCATTGGCGGCGTAAATATCACTTTCTGCTTGATCCACGGGAACAAATCATACCGACGAGCACGCACGCGACGTGCATCCAGCACGAGTGCCGAGGCGAACCATGTCATCTGAAGCATGAAGTTAGCGGCGACAGCCAACGCAGCGACAACACAGAAGCTCGTAAGCGCCGGGATGCGGGTTAGCGCGCCCACCAAGAAGGCCAACGATTCAGCCACAGCTGCTACAACAATCGACGGACCCACATTGACCATAGTTTCTCCCATAACTTGCTTCAACATCAACAACTCGTCTTCGGCCCGATCACGTGTGTTTCGCCTTGTATCCAGCGTTGCAAGGCCACGCAATGCTGCCAGTCTGTCAAATTCGTTGGTTAAAATAAACATATTATCCACACCAATGGCAAGGACCAAGAACGGAACAACTTCCAACGTGATCATCGTCACCTCCATCTGCAGTAGCGCACAGCTTACACCCATAGCAGCACCCAAAGACAGCAGAACTATCAAAATACCTGTCAACCCAAGGCCAAAACGTGATCGTACCGGGTCGGAAAACTTGCCCAGCGATGCTGAGACGTAGAAGAACATGACCAGATAGCTCACGGCCACAATGAACGCGTTCTGGTTTGTTTGCACCACCAAAGAGTCCGCAACCGACCGTTGCGCCATGTACGTGAGTCTCATACCATCGACACCAACATCTGCTAGCTCCTGATCTTCCACTCTGTCCCAGATAAACTCATCACTAGTATTTCCTTTGGACGGCTTCAACGACTCGGCTGCATGTTCCGCAATCTTAAGAAACACTTCTTTCTCCCATAATTCAGCGTATCGTGTGTACGTCTCGTTCTCTGGGTTATTATTCAGCAAAAAAGTGACCATCAAAGCCTTGGCTCGAGGCGTAGCTTCTCCACACGGGTCTGGGTTCTGGTGACACTCATCCCTCGATAACCCTCCAAAGACCACGTTCCTCATAACTGGTACACCATTTTGATCCATGCACGGTGAATGCTCCTTGAGTACCGGATCTGTGGTCTGACAGGCTGTTGTGAGCTTAATGTCCGGGTCATGTTGAAGCAAAGTGGAATTGGTCAGCCAGTACTGGAATGGACTGGTGATCAAACACCCTTTTCCTTTAATGGGTCGGTAGCAGAAATCCTCCAGTGTGAGCGTCACATTGGCCTCATCTTGGCTGTAGACGACGGCGTTTGTGATTTGGCTCTGCACGTTGGCCATCTGCAACAGGAAACGCCGCTGGACCAAATCGTGGTTGGCGTCACACGTCGCAGGGACCAAATCGGAGTCCGAGTCGGCATTTGTGTCACTCTCAACGTAGAAAATGAGCTGCTGGATGCGGAAAAAAGGTCCGAAAAGCTCATCGAAGCGCGTTTGTTCCCGAGCCGCGACACTGTTCGGAGGCACCCAGAGCCCCTGCGGATCCGTCTGTAGCTGCATGTTGAGCAGACCGAGGCACAGTACGGCGCTGCAGACGAGCGCAGAGAGCGCCATGAGCACGGGGGACCTGCTGCAGAGCGCGCCAAGGCGGTAGAAGACGCGCATCGGACTTGGATCAGGGGAATGATGGAGATTGAAGCTGAGGGTGATGTGATTATTGGCCAATTAGAGAAGAGGATGATTGGATACAAACACCAAGTGGGTGGTTGAAGTGAGGGTGTTGGCACCCGTTGCCTTCCATTTGCCCACGGAGGACAATGCTGTGGGGCGACAGACAAAGACTATCTGATCGATCTGAGAAGCTGTAAGCGTTGCTCATTAATAACGCTGCTCTTTGAGCTTGGACACCGCAACAGTTTGATCGCACGGGGGTAGCTACCTGTGCGACTTCGGATAGAAGTGCAAGAATCCGGATCAACTACAAATTCGTACAGTGTAACGAATGCAGGAAAAGTGAAGCAAAGTGCTGACAGCCTTACAAGAACGCTTTTGGCTTCCAGTACATGCAAACTATTGGAAGAAAGTGCTTCGATAGTATCAGCCCCTTGCGACCCGAGAGCAGTTCGACAATATGAGAGCAGGCGTTGGCATGGCTAGATCAGACCTTTTCAAGTCGATGTTGGCCCACGTCGAAGCTCTCGTTTCTTTCTCACGCTACCAGCATCTATTCCAACAATAATGATCTTCTCTTTACCATGGGGAACCTCTACAACTTGTAGTACAAGCTGCAGAGTGGCCAGCTCAAGAGATTTCAGCCCTTGCAGCGTGTGCGACTTTCAAACTCGGAGTTTGACGTGTGCTCATCCCGCTTGAAACTGGCGACGCGAGGTCACCCACTCAGCGTGTAGACGGGACTTCTATACTTGCTTTCACTATGGGTCACAACCTGATCTTCTGTGTCACTGACAAGCGAACAATGGCGTTCGTCCAGCAGCGACCAGTCCGCAAGTCGCCGCCAAGCCCACAGAGCCAAAGGCTCGCGAATCGCAACGATGCACAACACGCCGCAATCTCCTCCGCCATCAGCGTCTCCCATGGCCAACGGCTCGTCGTTCCTGCAAAAGGCTGGCCATTTGTACAAGAAGACGGGTCTGGGTCGGTCCTGGCGCCCACGCTTCTTCTCGCTCGAGGGCACCGTACTCTACTACTACAAACGCGACGGCGACTCGGTGCCCAAAGGAATCGTGGTGCTCACAGGCTGCCACATCCGCGCCACCAAAGACAAGAAGCTCTACAGTTTCCGCATCTCGCACCCAAAGACCTCCAAGGTCTACGATCTGGCCGCTACTTTGCCTAGTCGCACAGAGGACTGGATCCAAGCACTCACACAGGCCTCCACTATGGTGCAGACCGCCAGTTCCAGTCGACAACTCACGTCCAACGCGTCCAGTAGTAACGTTCTCCTGCCTTTGTCCTCCTCGTCTCAGTCCACTCTTGTGGATGCGTCGATCACGGAACTCTTGGACGTCCCAGAGGTGGCCATCCCTGACGAACACCGAGATAGGATGGAAGAGTTGTTAGCCGAGTTTGTGGCTCAAGCACAAGACGATGCGGATGGCTGGAAGTTTCAGACGGAGCAGCGAGGCGTTAAGGCTTATGTGCGTCGTACGTCCAAGACCGGAACCTTTAAGGGTGTGGGTTTTATTGCTCATCACCCTCACAAAGTGCTGCATTTGATACTGGAACTTTCGAAACGACCCAAGTACGACCCTCAACTGCTTGCCACCCAGCGTGTCCATGTCTTCAATGACCACATGTGGGTAGATCATTTGACCTACAAGGCAGTCTTCCCTGCTGCAGCTCGAGATTTTGTCAATTTGACCCACTGGCGTGTCCTTCGAGACGGATCGATCGTCGTCGTGGCCACTTATGCTGAAGACGACAGCTTCGTGAAGAACCAGGAGCCTCAGATCGTTCGTGCCAGAGCGATCATGGCTGGATTCTTGCTCAAACCTAACGAAGACTACACAGGTGTGAACGCCACGTATATCACCAAGGTGGACTTGAAGGCAGGGATCCCTGCTGGTCTCCAGGCCAAGATGTTCATCAAACAAGCGTTTGTGGTCGATGGGTTACGTAAAGCTCTGGATGAGGACGAGAGTTCTCGACAATATGAATGTGTCACTAACACCACATCATTCGGTATCTCCATTACGGATTGTGTGGAAGACGAGGAAGAAGTTTACTCGATGCAATCGCAGCCGGCAGATGTCCATGACCAAGACGATCACGGTGAGTCTTCGTTTAGTCGTCGCCCCAGTGTTGTTCCAGAGGAGGGATTCCCTGCCGTTCCAGAGGAGTATAGTGAAATTATTGAGAAGGCTGTGGCGCGTATGGAAGCTGAGATGAACGACGAAGCGTCCTGGAACTTCATCGGAGACAAGGACGGCGTCAAAGCCTACACCAAAGTGGATGGCTCACTGACTGCGGCTAAAGGCGTGGGTTACTTACCGTATCATCCACGTGCCATTTGGGAACAAGTGGTTGATGCCGCCAAGCGAAAGCTCGTCGATCCTCAACTTGCGCTCGGCATGAACTTGAAGTCTTTGAACGCTCAGACCAATATCGACTATCTCGAATACAAGTCCATGTTCGTGGTCGCTGGTCGAGATTTCTGTAACCTTGCACACTGGCGTGTGTTGCCTGGTGGGACGATTATTGTGGTGGTGCAGAGTATCGAAGATCACGAGTTGTGCCCACTCAAAGAACCCAAGGTTGTCCGTGGTGATCTGCATCTTGGCTGTACGAAGATCGTCCCCAATGCAGCATACGATGGCGCTGAAGTGACTACGATGGTCAAGACTGATCTCAAGGGCAACATCCCAGCACGTATCGCTGGAAAGGCAGCAGCAGACCAGCCATTCGTCATCTCTCGGATGGGTGAAGTGATCAAGGCGAGACGCGACCTCGACCAGATCGCAGCTCAAGGGAAACTGACCAACACATTGTTTGAGCTTCCCCGACCCAAGAAGCGGTCGGCGTCATTGGGCTCAGCTAAGCTTGGCAGCTCTGTAGTCAAGAACGGAGTCAGCCAGAGTAACGGTACTCCAACGACAGTTGCTACTGCGTCTCAGGTGTCAAGTAAGTCATCGACGCAGTCCAATGCACCTGAGGACCATTCTTCTTCTATGACGAAGCAACAAGAGAGCAAGGCGAACGCTGTGGAGTCAGGTGTGATGGATCTCTCGAAATCGGGCAAGAATACCGTGAGCGATGTTGCCATGTACGGGATTCAATTCGGAGGTGCAGTCTTGGCACTGAAGACCGTGCCTCTGCCGACTGCTGTGCACTTTGTAGCTGTGATCTCCTTGATCCTGTTCTTCGCCCTGAAACTCCATCTTGGTCCCAGTCGCATGTCACCTCGAAGAAAAATGATGATCTCGACGTTTGGACCTCCAGACAGCGGTATGATTCTGGGTAGTCTTCAACTGGACATGACCAAGACGAACCAGTACATCGCAGATCGGCGCAAGGACTCCAACTGCCACCTCACTATCACGCACATTGTACTACGTGCTATCGGTGAAGCTCTGAGCAAGGCTCCGTCAGTGAATGGCCACTTGGTCTTCGGTAACTATTACCCTGCACCTACAGTGGACATCTCTTGCTTGGTTGCAGTGGGTGCTGGTAAAGACCTCGGTGTGTGTCGACTACCGAAAGTCGACAAAATGACGTTGCAAGAAGTCGTCGATCACGTTCGTGGAGACGCTACAAAAATCCGCAGTGGGGAAGACAAGGGACAGGAAGACCGGAACAAGATTATGAGTGTATTGCCCACTTGGGTTCTCCGTCCGATGGTTAATTTCTTCGGTTGGCTTGGTAGTGCGTGTGGCTTCCGTATCCCAGTGGTGGGAGTGGAGCCGTACATGTTTGGAGCCTGTATGGTGACGTCGGTTGGTATGATGGGGCTGGATATGGCCTTCTCTCCTATCACACCGTACTCTCAAGTGCCGATGCTCGTGACTATCGGGTCGATTATGGACAAGGCTGTTGTTGTGGACGGTAAAGTTCAAGTGCGTCCGATGTTGACGCTAACCACGACCATCGACCATCGTTACGTTGATGGATCGGAGGCAGCTCGCATGGCCAAGACCCTCAAGATGCTCGTGGAAGACCCCAACTTGCTTGAAGCAGTTCCTGGTGCCTAATCTCACCACCCATAGTACGTGCTTTGATGTCGTTATGGTTTTTCCGTGTGGAAGAGAACTCACGTAACATTCTCAGTCAAGTACTTTATATTATCAATGCACTATTGTTTCACTGCGAAGAGCCACTTGTCTACTCATTCGTTTGTATGCTGCTGATAGTCGAGAATACTGAGCTTGTCCGCTGTTCACGACGTTCAAAGATTTGTTGGATTTCTTCGAGTTCCAAGCCTTTCGTCTCTGGGAGTTCCTTCCACAAGTACGCGAATCCAAACAAGGCGATCGATGCGTACAGCCAAAAAGCGCCATATACCGAGAGTTCGTCTACAATCGACAAGAAAGTGAACGACACCAACAAGTTGGTGATCCAACACACGGACGTCGCCATACTCAACGCAAAACTTCGAACTCGGAGTGGGTAGATCTCAGCGTTGATAGTCCAAGGCATACAGCCCATTCCGCTAGCGAAGAAAGCCAAATAGACGAAGAGAGCAACGAAGATGGCCCAGCCAGGGGCTCGACTATCTGTCGGACAAGCCTGGAAGGACCAGTTGGAAGTAGCACATGATCCCTGCATGGTTGATGCAGTATTGCCAGGCATACACAAGTTGGCATTCGTGGGGTTGGATAATGCGAATATCGGATCGGGAGATCCCTCGGAACAGAATCCACACGCAACGTTGGCCACGCAGTCGAAGCACGTTGCGATTCCGGAACATTCACCGATACCCGTCACCTCCGTTGACTGCAGTTCTGCAGCGTAGAAACTCCCTCCAAGAGCGACCAAAGAGAAGAATACGCCAGCCAAACTACCGAGTGTAAGTAGTCTACGACCAGCTCGGTCTACGAGGTAGATCCCGACGAAGGTGAAGATGAAGTTGCTGAAAGATACGAGCGCAGAGAGCCAAATGGCGGTGGTGGGGTTGGTGAATCCAGCCATTTGGATGATAGTAGCCCCATAGTACATGACAGTGTTGATACCGCATAGCTGGGCTAAAGCTTGGATGAAACATCCCAGAACCAGAGCACGAATGACTGCAGGCGACTTCAATTCCTCCCACACGTTGCTGTCTTCATAACGGTCGCGTTCCACCTCGTCCTCTACATGGCTGAATTCCATTGAGACGTCCATTGTTCCTCGAACTTTAACGAGCGAATCCCAAGCTTCTTCCTTGCGTCCTTTACTCATGAGGTAGCGTGGAGTCTCTGGTAGAGCCAGGAATCCAAGGAACTGGAGAAACGCAGGGATAGCAGCCAACCCGAGCATGTAGCGCCAACCTTGATCGACATCGGCCAGTATCGCATCTAGAACACAAGCAAAAAACTGCCCACCAGTGACGCACGCGTTATTCAGCGACACGAGCTGGCCGCGGATATCCGGTGGTGATACTTCAGCGATGTAAAGCGGTACAGTCATAGACGCGAATCCAATTGCTATTCCAACAACGAGACGCCCGACGAGAAGTTCTCCGAATGAATTAGCAGATGCCATCAGCACCGACCCAGTGGTGAACATGGCGGAGGACATGAGAATCACACGACGTCGGCCGAACACGTCGTTACCACAACTACTCAAGGCTGCGCCGACGATAGCACCGCCAACTGCAGCAGAGACTACACTCTCACTCTGAAGATTCGTGAGATCGAACACTTCGGGACTTCTCAGTAGTACCAGCGCACCGGAAATTACACCCTGCAATACACGTGACGTTAGATGAATTCGAGGAAAGAAGGACAGAGCAGACGTACCGTGTCGTAGCCGAAGAGGAAGCCACCGATGGTGGAGCAGAGCGTGAGTAGATACAAGTAGAGCGGATTGCCCTCTTTTGGCAGCATTGCATCTGCCTTGGGCAGCAGGGGAGCGGCTTCGTGCTGCGGAGACTTTCGCGTCGAGCATAGCGAACTTCTTGACATGTTGAAGTGAAGCTGGAAATGGCTACACACTGTATTTGATAAATTCTTCACTGGTAGTGCGTCCACCACTTGTACTGAGTCTGAAGTGGCAAATTTGCAAATGATCGGATGCGAAACGGACCGTTGGAGTTGTCGGGGTTGTTTCTTCGGGGTTCTCCGGCGTCACATACAGATTGGCCAATAGCAGCAACACAAAATGGGTTACCAGCAAATCTTAGCGTGTGTTCAAGGCAGAGCTGTCCACGTTGGTCCAAGTCCAAGTTGCAATGCACATGTCAACTTGAATTTCAACTGGTCTCGAGGAGGATACTAGTTGCCTCGCTCTTTCGTAACGAGGAAGCCGGAACCACAACGCGTTGCATTGAGTTAGAGCACTACCTCGGTGACTAGCATGTTCCTAGCGAGATTTAAACATCTGCACGAAGATCACCAAGATCACCCTACCAGAAGAGCGTCAAAACGCATGAGCGAATAGGGCTTATCTTTGCAAGTTGAGGTTTGTCGCAGTGCGCGAAGTTCGACTGTCGCGAGACAGAGTATCTTTTCAAGATGTTAATGCTATCGCAGCGCAGATTTATTAGCTTTATTCAGGCAATAACATTCTGTGAAATCATGCCGCGCTTATTCAGGCCAGCAGATGATCCTTAGTACGCGTATGGATGTTCCTCGGCGAGTACAAACACTTATAGTATTCCATGCTACCGCTGCTGCGCTGCCAGATATCACGTGAGCATTGAAAGTCTTTATTAATACTTTCCGTTTTGGACGAATTGTCGGTACACGTATCCCGGATACGGTATCCGTAATCCTGGCTGTACGGCTAATTCGCGTTCCCTGCTTGGGTGACGTATGAAAAGTTCGTCTGTCGCCCTGAATTGATCTGCACAGTTGAAGGGCAACAAGATCATGAAAAGAATAAGGTCTATCAGGGTGACCCTCCCCAACTACCACCACCACACCGTGTGCCATTTTCAACGCAAGCTTCGGCAAACCAGCTTCACTTTGGCACACGTTTTATTTTAAACTTCGGAAAAATTA